TCCTTTAGCTATATCGTATTGGTCGGAAAAAAATGCTGACGCTGCGCTACTATGTGTAAACATGTAAAAAAAAAAGGATCCCTGTTTAAAAAGAAAGAAAGAGAGAGAGAAAAACAACATCCGAACGCTGAATAAGAAAAGAAAAATGAAAATTGCCCAGAAAGCGAAAGTGACATTGGCAATACTTCTCATTTTGTTGCTTGTAAACACCTACTTCTCAATATCAGAGGAGAGTTAGACGTTAAAGTAATTTTACTGATTTTGAATGAATGCATAAAATTCCGAGAGCGCAAGAATGAAAGGAAAGTAAAGCTGTCCCTGTCTGTCTGTCTCTCTCTCCTTCTATCTATCTATCTATTTCTATCTCCTCTATTATCCCTCAATCTCCCACTTCCACCTCTATCTATCTATCTATCTATCTATCTCTCTCTCTCTCTCTCTCTCTCTCTCTCTCTCTCTCTCTCTCTCTCTCTCTCTCTCTCTCTCTCTCTCTCTCTCTCTCTCTCTCTCTCTCTCTCTCTCTCTCTCTCTATCTATCTATCTATCTATCTATCTATCTCTATTCTCCTCTATTCTCTCTCAATCCCACATCCACGTCTCTCTCTCTCTCTCTCTCTCTCTCTCTCTCTCTCTCTCTCTCTCTCTCTCTCTCTCTCTCTCTCTCTCTCTCTCTTCATCACCACACACACACACACACACACACACACACACACACACACACACACACACACACACACACACACACACACACACACACACACATACACACACATACACACACACAATCTCTCTCTCTCCCTCTCATTCTCTTTTCCTTTTCTCCCTCTTTTTCCCTCTCTTCCTCTCCCCACTTCCCCCCTCCCCCTCCTTTTTCTCTCTCTAGATTTGTGTGATGGGCCTGTGGTAAGAAAAAAAAGCATCATTTCCATTCGATATTCATTTCCACAAGAGTCAGACTTCAAAATTTATCGAGAAAACGTATGGCTTCGCAAAGCTTTAAGAAAAACACGCGGGAATATGCGGCCGTAAAGCATAAACTTGAACATAAAATTGAAGCGCATATATAAGTAAGATTCCGCGTCGATCACACCCAGACAGTAAAACATCCAGCGGCGGAAAAATCCAGAAGGTAATCCTCGAGTGGAGGCCGAGGGTAGGCGGGAGAGTGCTGAGTCATGCGCGCTTCGGGTCAGTCAGCGGGAAGTGAACAGGCACAGCTGAACGGCGCAAAAAGTAGGGGCTGCGCACTCGGTACGTTACACACACACACACATACAGATGCACGCACGCACGCACACACACACACGACCACTCACGCACGCACGCACGCACACGTACAACCACACACAAACATATTCATATATATATATATATATATATATATATATATATATATATATATATATATATATATAGAGAGAGAGAGAGAGAGAGAGAAGAGAGAGAGAGAGAGAGAGAGAGAGAGAGGAGAGAGAGAGAGAGAGAGAGAGAGAGAGAGAGAGAGAGAGAGAGAGAGAGAGAGGAGAGAGAGAGAGAGAGAGAGAGAGAGAGAGAAGAGAGAGAGAGAGAGAGAGAGAGAGAGAGAGAGAGAGAGAGAGAGAGAGAGAGAGAGAGAGAGAGACAGAGACAGACAGACAGAGACAGAGAGATTAAGCAACAAAACAAAGTCCAGACTCATCTGACTTCACCGCAAACAAGGTCGATGGTGCTTTGATATTCACTTGCCTTTCTTCGATAACCAGACAGTTTTACCCTAGACTATCTCTGTTGTTAATACAGGCTTGAAATTGGTTAATTCGTGTAATCGGCGTGTGGGTGGAGTGCTTGAAATCGGCAGCTCTTCTGGTTACTTCATTCGAAATGTAATCTTATTGGCACACACACACACACACACACACACACACACACACACACACACACACACACACACACACACACACACACACACACACACACACACATATATATATATATATATATATATATATATATATATATATATACACACACACACATATATAATATATATATATATATATATATATATATATATATATATATATATATATATATATATATATATATATATATATATTATATATATAATTATTTTTACAAAACCTAAAGCCACACCATTGCAGGAGCTCCTTATAGAGTATAACGCTTTGAGAGCGACAGGGACATCGCACCAATCCATTAACTTCATTCATAAACAAGAATCTCTTTGAAACCTTTGAATTCCTATAAAGAGGAAATTTCAACACCGTTTGACGTCGTTATCTCGTCCTCGCAGTTACACCTGTCATCAGTTTCCCAGCCTTCTCCAAGCACCGAATTAATCTTCTTTTATTACAACACTTGAACAACGGTTGGCGGATTGCTGTATGATATGATCAGCCGAGTCTTCACTTTAACATATTGAACCTTTGTGAGTTTGATAAAATGTGTTGAAATGTCGCTGTAAAATTCACGGCAGAGGTGAAAATATAGTTGTCAAACTCTGTAGACTATTACGTAGTTCATAGTCAGTCCTGACAAAACAGCATACCTTCCTTATATAAATAACTCTGAAATTGTTGGTTTCAATAAGCATAAAATATATAACACCAATACATCATTTATTAACACCGCGTAAAGACAGGCGCGTGGGCTGTCCTAGTCTCCTAATGCCTATCATTCCTGTCGTAAATCCGTAAAAGCGGCGGCGGGACAACGACTCCCAAATTATTCTCAAGTTCCGTCTCTTCTTAGGCCCGGCTTGATGAATGGCCACTGCAGATCTGGACTCGGAAGCTTCCTCGGAAATAGTAAGCGACGGAATTCATGGAGGCTCCGGCATGAGGTCTGGTCTGTCGCCTCTGTTGGTGTTTGTGTGCGATTAGCCTACTGCGTCTTTTCTGCAGGTCAGTTCTTTTGCTAATAAATGACGCATGGTGTATTGAAAGCTCTTTGAGGAAAGAAAGTACTCTTGTTCAATTATTTCATATTTTATTCATTGTTTATTCTTCCGTTACTAGTGCGTGTTCTACCATAGAGGTTCGCGACGAGTAAATAAATGGGAAACCAAGTTTTATAGTTTAAGAACAACTGCAAAGTGCAAGAGGACCTGCCTATAAGCAGTTTGCGTTCCAGATTGCGAGTAAAATCTATCATCTCCTCTTCGTCTGGCTGGTCCAGGAATGAATCCGTCCTGGTTAGCATTCACGGGCCAGAGGACGTGCGCTGCGTTTTGCCCCGCGATGACGTGCACATCAGATAGCGCTGTCGTTTCCGGCCGCCCTTGCGTTGCCGTTTCCGTCCTGTCGCGGGCCGAGTGCGCGGCGGCGACCGAGGGGAGCTAGCACTGGCGGCCAGCCCGGGCAAGAACGCATAAGTCTGTGTGATAATAGTCGTGTGGCGGGACAGGTCGCCTCACAGGTGGAGTGTGGCCGATATCGACCTGGCGAGCCATGGTGCGGCCCCAGCGTGACCCACATGGTCCATTTTGGCGCGCCGTTCGCACCCTCACCACACCATACCACACCTGCAACTGAACCGCACTTCGTCGCCACAGCAATATCACACCCTCCTATCTGTCTTTCCCTTTCACCTGTTGCCCCATTTTCCTACGGCAGCGCCCGCCTCCTTCATCATCCCCCTCTGCATATGCTGGCGTTCCTTGTCGTTAGCACGCAGCTCTTATAGTGCGTATGCCTTTTATGGCCTTCCGTGGTTTTACTTCAAATTCGGGTTTTGGTTTAACTCAAAAGTAAATCCCAAATATGACAAGTGCGTGTTTGATTCACAGGCTAAATGTCTTATCCTTAAACTACCATCCGTGCCCTCCCCCCCCTCCTCCGATTACAGCGAAGCGTTGACACCGAGTAATCAGTAATCTAGCCACACTTTATACAGTCAAAGAAAAAACAGTATTCGTAATTATACATTCATAAACCATTCATCCATAACTGCAAATATACAATTTTTTTATATATTTTTTTTTTTTTTTTTTTTTTGGTAAATGATAATACAGTGATATTCCGGTCTATCAAAAAGGGGTTAATCCCTTGCGTAAGGCACTGGTTCCAAGGGCTGTCTGGCCTCTCGACGCCTGCTGGAAGTTTATTCAGCTGGTTGTGACGTATTATCTTCCTTTCCTGCCATCCCGGAGGCTGGTAAATTAACATTTATCTGAACATGTACATATTATTTGTCTTGTGTGATTTTTGAAGTATGGGAAAGTAAATGGCGTTTAGAGAAGACCAGCAATTAGAACTTGAAATAATCAAACGCTATTTATCTAATTCGAACAATTTTGAAAACTATCTGCCATTTTATGCAACACTGACTTAAGAGTAAAAGGTTTATATTATCTAAATATCCCTTTGGACAGCTATTTTCCTGCGATACGGACTGAGTTTTGCATATATACCCTTCCCAGATACGCCTATCAGAAGTAACCCATCATCACGAAACAACATTATCAGTAAAGGCCCTATCACACTAGCACTCTTTCCGTCAATTTTTGCGTTTCCGTCTGAATTTGAGGCTCTCCGCAAATATCGTTTGCAAACGGAACGCCTCCCAGACGATGACGGTCACGACCGTTTCCGTCTGACCAATTTCCGTCTTGATCTTGTGCTATTAATAAATTAGATAGGATGAGTGAATGTAAACATCAGCTAACGTTTTAGAACATTCGTATATACAATTTACATCATCATATTTCTTTAAAATAACGTAATATGTATGAGATTGTTCGTATGATTCCCGGGACCCCACTCCGATAGCGCCAGGTTTGTTTACATGATTTTAATACGGAAGTTCATTCGGAAACGAAAAAAATGACGGAAAAAGTGCTAGTGTGATAGGGCCTTAAGTAACGCTTTTCGAGCATCGATTTGAAAACGAAGTCTATTTTTTTCAGACTGAATATAATATTTGCACAGTGTCTGCCGTTGGCTTAGACACGTACAATGATCAATCAAAATCTTTGCACCTGATGATTAGGAAAACACACGATCCTCACAACCTTTATTACAAATCCCTACTTACAATGTTTGAAAATTACAACACATCCGACAGGGTTATAGAAGCAGTATGAATTACTATTACCGTAACTCTTTATCACAATGAAATTAAGTAAGCCTTACACGCGTCCAATGGGCCTCTCGTCCGGCAGAAGCAAGACCCTCTGAGTTCGTGGACGACGCCCGAAGGAGACCAGCTGCAGTCACCAAGCACGTGACACGAGGAAAATGGCCTGAGAGGTTCGATGACTTGTTGGTTACCTGCAGCCGATCTGCGGAGGAGGAGATCTTCGTTCTTCAATCAGGCTGAGAATAATTTGCAATTATACTATCTACATGGATAAAAGAATATATATTGAATATAGCTACACGCCTTTATATGTCAACTACATCAGATTATATCAGTAGAAAATGTAAACGCAGTTTTATGGCAGCTATTCCTAGAACATTCTGCTGAAGGCATTTTCTCTATTAATTCGACTGAATATACGTTTATCTGCACAAGTGCTTGTAAGATACGTTATAACAAAGTTGATTCAAGTTAATTGCTTTTTGATAATTGCGTATTAAGCACATGCTAGTATATCTACTCAGTAAAATCCTTTGCTTCTAAACCAAAGAGCAACCACCGACCCGAAGAAAATAATGCTGTGTCCTTTCAAAGATCAGCCCATTCGTAATCGTTTGACGGTATCTAAATTAAATTCTGCAAGGTCATCGCCGCCGGCATGCATTTATCATGCGAACATTCATACATTGTCCTGTAAATCTCAGCGCCTGACAAATATAAACAGACCTTCCTCTGGCGAAAGAAGGGTAAACTATCATGAATCCTGAATCAGACTGATGCTCTGTCCCGCTATGCAAATACCGCCACGTCCATTCAATAAGCCCTTTATAACTGTTTCCCTTAAGATTTAAGAGAAAAGCCATGTATTTCTCTACATCTAATAAATCTTTCATATTTCCCGTGCGAGAAAGCCTGGCCGATTAAAAAAAAAAGTAGCTGGCAGTAATTTTGACGCTGATCCATGCATAAATAAAGGGAAAAAGAGGCGGGAAAAGCCGTGGATTGACTTCAGGCGCATCAGGGGGAAACAACGGAAAGGAAGCGAGGCAGTTGTTATAAAACGATCAAGTTTGCAATTAACACCAAGCACGTAAGCCACAAACGTTTACTTAAAATCATGCAAGATAGTTGAGCATGCGTTAATGACAGGTCAGAGAAGGAGAGAGAGAGAGAAAAAAGAAACAAAAAGACATGCAAAATATACATGACACACAAAAGTTCGATGCGGTTCCTCTCTCCCTTTATTCCCATTCACCCTTCATTTACTCTCACCCTTCTGCAATTTCCACCTTCAGCTTGACCCTCCGGTCGCCTTCACCCTTTTCGCTTTGATCTTTTCAGTAGGAGATGAATAAATAAATAACGAATGGCATCTATATCATCAACAAGTGATGGGGAATTTGCCTGTGCGTACAGCGAACGTGTACGTGACAGTCCTGTGTCTAGCCTCGAGCTCTCCCTCTCTCCCTCCCTCTTCCCCCTCTCCTTCCCTCCCTTACCGACCTCTCTCATGCGCAGTATTGAGTGGTGACTGTCCAGTTCCCCCTTTACCCCCTCTTCCCTTTTCTCCCTTCCTTTCCACATCCTATTCTCCTACATTTCCCGCATCTATTCCAGATCTGCCTATCAGTTATTTCGGCTCCCACTTTCTCCGTTTCGCGCTCCCTTTCCTTTCGGTCCTATCCCGCTTTCCTTGCCCCCCTTCCACTCCCCACTACCCGCCCGAGACAACCCAAGTCGTCCCAGTGAATAATTTACGGGGGTAGTACAACCCATGGGGAGGAGGGGGGGCAGTGGGACGGAGGGGGCGCCACGGGGATGTGTACAAGCGACCCCGACCGTCCATTATATATGTGCATGCGCCAGGTCGACTGCAGCCGTTAAATTTGCATCTACGCGAATGTGTACATGAATCTGGCACGTGTTGTTAAAAAGGGAAGAGGTATCAAAATAAGCATAGTGATGGGTGAGTGAGAGGATGTGCGTGTGTGTGTGTGTGTGTGTGTGTGTGTGTGTGTGTGTGTGTGTGTGTGTGTGTGTGTGTGTGTGTGTGTGTGTGTGTGTGTGTTTAGGCCTATATATGTAGATGCTTGATCATTGCATGTATACAAGGATGAAACTATATCCAATATAATTGCATTCGGCGTATCATCCATAATTTCCCTCAAAACATTAAGCACGTGCTAAATTATATTCATTTCCTTTAAAAGCCGAATAAGAACGAACGCTAGCGGAGTAAACTAGCGACAGCCCCTCAACCACACTGTGACCTGACCTAGGGTGTGGCCGCAGCGAAGCGAGGTCAGGTCATGCCTAGAGCTCGCCAGCCCTATGGCCCGGCCTGGTTCGGAGAGCGTGGGCGCCGACGTCGGCCGTGAGGATCAGCCGGGTAGA